ACCCCCAAGCAGCCCTTTTCTCCGGGCGGGGGGGGGGGGGAGTGACCTCTGTCGCCTGGAGATCAAGGGTGATTCTTCCGGGAGATCTCCCTTCCCCCCGGAGGCTGCCCACCCTGTTCCCGACGACCCCTGCCCTGGAGAAGGCGAGAGAGAGGGCTCACCGGGGGTACAGGAGCAGCCGAGCCTCCGCGTCTCCGCACTTCAAGCTGACTTGTTGGGGCCGAGGTCGGCGAAGGAGCCCCGGGCGGGCTCGTGGAGGCTGGGCGGTCGAGGCGCGGGAAGGCAGAGTCGGCCGGTTTCGCCCTGGCCTGGCAGGTGGCGCTCAAAGGGCGGCAAGGGGCTGGCGGGAAAAGGCAGGGGGCGGGAGCGCGGAGCCGTCGGCAAGGCCGGCAAGATCCCGCTGCAGAAGCGCTGCGCTCCCTGACCGCGCCCGCCTGGACGGGCAGCCCGAGAAGAAGGCCTCGCGGTTTAACTTCGCTTGACACCCCCCCCAAAAAAAAAGGTGGGGCGAAGTAGGAAGTAAAATACCGAGATGGCCTTGGAACTCACTCTCCGCATTCCCGGAGGGTGGACTGGTGAATGTCTCTGATCCGGGAACCTCAGGAGTCACACTGGACACAGGGCATGACATTTCAGGGCGGCAGCCCTGCAGAGGTCCATGGGGGGGGGGGGTTCTTGTGGCACCTGAAAGGGGATCGGGTGACGGGTCTATTAAAGCGTCATATCTTGTGGACAAGAGTCCATTTGAGTGGCCTCCTATCAGTGAAAGCCGCCCTATTGCACAATTATTTGGTTGACTCTTGAGTTGCTTATTTTTGTTTTGCTTCTATAACTTGTAATTGGCCCGCTGTGGGTCACCTGTGCCAAGAAAGTGGGTCTAAGTGTGCCACTTTGTATTCTAATCCCAATTTTTTTCCAGATGACTGATGGTAGACTGGAATCCTCAGGGGGGGTGAATAGAAGTTTGAGTATTCGTCACAGGAAATAAATGTTATAATCCCAGTTGATCAGTGAATCCGGGAAATGGCACTGGCTTCAGCTTCACATGTGTGTGCCCTCCAAACAGGCAGCTGTCAATCTGGTGACAGCTACTCCCTCTAGGACACTCAATCCATCTGATTAAATTAAGGATGATGTTTCTCAAGATGTCCCCCATCTCTCCCTCTCCTGCAGGTACTTACATTTTTCTTTCTGTCTCTGCAGGGGAAGGCAGCTTCCTTCATAGAGAAATCGCTTTTTTAAAAAAAGACACTGATTTTGATATCTATGAGTTTTTTTGAGGGGATGTGACCCCCACACACACCCTTCCTTACCCATTTTTTGCTATAGCAGGCTCAAAACTACACAACACACATTATCTTGTTGCTTCTAGTTGATACTATAGAGTCACTGACGGTTTCAGTAAAATGGAGAAGTGAAGAGCAAAACCCTGACCCAGCTTCTACTCAATGTTGCTGCCACCCCCCTTCCCTATGAAGCCTCCTGGAATGAGCAGAGGCTAGTTGTTTGGGTGCCAGAGACAGCCAATCAAAATGGTGACAAAATATAGTAACAAATAGGCATTCAAAGTTTGCCATTCTTTAATGGTAGCCCAAAACAGGCGGCTTGAGGCAGGTCATTCATATTTTGCTTAGTAAGAAGGCCAGACCTGCCAGCAAGACCCTTCTCACCTTGCTGTTCCAAGATTGTATTGCACCAGCACCTTCTGGCCTACCTGTGGACATCAACAGCAAATTTCACCAGGTCAGTCTGAAAGATGAATGCAGAAGACAGCCGGCAATTCCAAACCCCCGGTGGGGCTACAGTTCCCCCTCAACAACCCAGGCCCCAGGGATCCAGGCACGGAGGAAGGCCAGCAGGTGGAAGAAAAGGGAGCTTAAACAGGTGAGATATATCCCAATCTCATCCTGATCTCCTGGTCTCAGAAACATTGCTTCATAATTATAGGGAGTTTTAGGCTCTTGATATGGGTGTTGTTGGGATATCCCTCTCCAACAATTAGTGCAAATTGTTAACATTCTGAATTGGATTTTATCCCCCCCCCGCTCTGTCTGGAGGTGTACAAACTCCTATTTCTATCACACAGAAAACAAGCAAGGAACAAAGAGTTAATGTATTGATTGGCATTGCCTGTGTAAACCTGAGCCAGTTCTGGCAGCGCTAAGTACAAGCTTTATAATGAAGGGGGGGGGGGAGAGAAGCAGTAGCAACACAGGAGGGAGGGACGCCATCCATCCACCACTCCTGGGATTGTCCTGCCACAGTTGAAGTGGGTGGGTTTACCCACTCCCCACTTCTGGGGCAGGACTGAAGCAGCATTGCTCAGAATAACACTGCATTTTGTTTTGAGGTCTCAGTTTGGCAGGAGTTAAGCAACGACCAGAATATGAGTGTAATTTGTTAATTAAGATTAATGCAGTGGAGAAGATGCTTTAGCAGCACTTTTGGCACTGAGGGAGAGAGGCCAAGGCTTTGTTATCATGATCTCTTTTTAAAAGGGGGGGGGCTAGAAGACAGTAAAAATACAGAAGGGGATGATTGAGAGCTGAATCTTGAAATGGAATCTGTGTTGCCCACATCAAAAAAGTGGCACCCTTTCTCAACTACAGAGAGAGAGAGAGAGAGAGCGTGGGGGAAGCATTTCTGGACCCTGAGAGTGCCTTTTCTTCTGTGGCTACCTTTGCCAATAGCCCCCTCCCAGCTGTTCTCTAATGGTCCCCAGCCACTTTTCATCAGTTGAATGGATGGGCATGGGACCAAGGTGGGCAGAAAGCCAGCTCATGTAGGCTGCAGGCATCCTGGACAGAGAAGGAGAACAACCAGCTTCTGATGTATATCCCCTGCAGATGTGTCTTTGATTGGGCCACTATTCTTGTGACATCAGTCTGGTGCCTTCCTTGGCTTCTCCAGTTCAAAGTGTCCTTCCAGCTGAGCTCAGGGGCTGTTGGTGCCCTTAGCAGCTGCAACAGGCAGAAATTCAACAAGTGAAGCATCCCTGCTGCTTTGTAATGGGGAAACGGTTTTCATCTTTTCAGTCATACAACAGTTAAAGGCATAGGAAGCCCTGAGAGGTGGTTTTTAAAGCTCCCCCCCCACTCTCCTGAGACCGTAGAATCCGAGCCCCCTGCGCTACCTTGGGTCAGGTGCCCCCACCCCACCTGTTCCGCTAAAGTTGGCTCCTCCTGAAGTGGGCGCGGGGGCGCTGGGGTCGGTCTGCGCCCTGTCCTCGAGCGCATCGGAGGCGCAAAGGGGGAAGCCGGCTCCTGTGCCAGGGATGCCTTGAGGCGCGTTGCAGACGCACCTGAAGCTCGATCGGTTTGGCCGGGCTGTGTGGAGGTCCGCGCTCTCTGCACTCGTTCTCGGAGCCGCCTGCACTCATCCTGCGAGGGCGCCGGCTACGCGTGTCTGTGTGTATCTGCCTCCCCGCGCTGCAAGTGCGGGGAGGCACAGTTGAAGCGCCCAGCGCGTTTCCTTCCACGACGTCTGCGCGCGTCTTTGGGGACAGAGACGCATGTGTCTCCCGGCCAGTGGAGACGCGTGTCTAAGTGCTGCCCCCTTCCCTTCCGGGGACCCGGGTGGTGCGGGACGGGGAGCTCCGTCCGTCCGTCGTCTCCCGGGGAGGGGGGGCACATCCCGTGCATGCCACTGGCGTGAGGCGGGGCCCGAGAATCAGCCAGGGAGTCACTCCGAGGGGAGACATCTCCCTCCCCCCTCCCAAGGAGAAGCAGGCGGGGGAAGGTGCCGGCTCTCGCTTCTCCTGTTGCCGGGGAGCTGGACGCCGGCTGCCCCTCCCCTGCCCTGCGCCCCCGCCAGGAGGATCGGCAAAGGGCGCCCGCCGGAGGGGGAGGCGGAGGCGGCACCGCGGCCAGGAGAGGCGCGCCAGGCGGGTCCAGCCCGGTCCCGCCGCCGGCCGGTGTCTAGGCGCCCCAGGGCTCTCGGCTCCCCAAGATGCGCGGCAAGGGCAGGAAAGAGAGCCTCTCCGACTCCCGGGACCTCGACGGCTCCTACGACCAGCTGACGGGTGAGTCCCTCCCGGGCTGGCGGCGCCCTCTGCCCGGGGGCGCCGGCTTGGCTGGGGGAGGGAGAAGGTGTAGCATCCCTCCAGCAGCGAACGGCCTGGATCTCTGTGGCGGGGGGAGCGGGCGGCGGGGGTCCCGTCTCTAAAACATTTCTCACAGCGTTTCCTCCACACACACCCTCTAAACACACACGCACCACCAACAGAGTCCCCTCTCTGCGCCCTCTCCCTGATCTGGGGTGTCTAGAGGTTCGCCGTATGGTCCCTGGACAAACTTCTGCCTGGAGAAAGTGGGGGGGGGGGTTTAGAAGGGTGTCATTTCATGCACGTTGTCCCTCGGTATGTGGGGCCTCTTGCTTCCCGAAGGTGCAGGTAAAGGAGTTGGCTGGATGTGTGTGCCTGCGTGCTGGATAACAGGGTCTTCCGTATCTGTGAAATGGTCCAGGTGCAGAGCAGAGGCTGTTTGCTGGCCGGTTTAGCTGCGATACCCGCTTTAAGAGGATTGTGACCGGGACCTCCGGTTCCCGAGCGGAAGGCAACGCTCTGGTCTGAGTGAACAGTGATGTCCCAGTAGGCGCCCACAGAGGACACTAGAGGGGTCTCGCTGAAACCTCTCTGTCAGGGATCCACTCCAAGCTGCATCTTAGTTGCGTTTAGGAAGGATGGTCCAGTCGTTGATCTCAGGATTACGGGCCTTCATCCTGCAAGGGTCCTGAGTAGGCAAGGATTCCCGTTCACAGGGGACTAGTAAAATCCCTCCAGAAGCCGGGTGCTGTCCATGGTGCTGGCTCAGGCAAAGCCAGTTGGACCTTGCACTCTCCTTGTAGATCAATTTCCCCGGTGCCTGCTGCCCCTAAATGTCAGTCTAACAATTCAGTGCCTGCAAAATGGGCTCTTCACCCGCAGAGATGTGATGAAAGGAGATATTTTAAGCTGAGTAGGAATACAAAGCCCACACAACTTTCCATCTCTCCGGTGACTTTAATGCATCCATATGGATTTCAAATCAAAATCAAGTGGGAAAAGAGAGCGAGTCCCTCGCAGACTGTGACCTTTGATTGCACAACCTGATGGTGAGCTGTAAGCATTGTGCTGGGAATACTTTGCTGTCCAGAAACAGCCTTCCACCTCAATTGTGCTGGGAATACTTTGCTGTCCAGAAACAGCCTTCCACCTCAATTTCATAACACCTCATTTGTCAGGAAGATCCCCTTGTAGCCTCTTTACATGAAGGAAAGTTAAGGCACAATGGACAACAAAAACCCTTTGCTTTCCAGATCAAATCCCATTTCATTATTATTTGTAAAGTGTCATGCCTTATGGTTGTTCTGGACACCAGAATTCATTCTCTGCCCATTTACATTGACAACTCAACCAGATTCTTTATTCGAGCTGAATCTCACACTTTAAGCATCCTCAAAAAAGAATGTTATTAAAGTGGTATGTTCAGTGCTTAAGAATTTTTAGGTCAGGTGTTGTTTTTGTTCCAGGCAGGCCATGATCTGACCGTGTTCCTCCTTCCACCGAAGTCACCTACTGGCCGCTCCATTCCAGGTGTTCTATTTTATACCTTCATTCCAGTTTTAGGTCAAATCTCTTTCCCTCGCCCCTGAGTCATTCATCCCCATCTCTGTAGTAGCTTCCCAGACACAGCTGCTGTGTGTGTTCTTGGTAGGCAAAGAGGCAGTTAGTGAGAAGACTAAATGGGGGGTGAAGAAAAAGCAACAAAACACTTGCTATAGTGTGACTTAACCTCCATGTATACTGCACTTTAGCACTGCGATGGAGCCCTTCCTGCAACCCCCCCCTCCTCCTGCTTAGGTTGTGCTGGCACTATTTTCTAGTGCTTCCACAGAAGGAATGGGGCACAATAATGATGGCAAAAGGCAGATCCTTTTGCATTAGTCCAGACTGTAACTTATGACACTTGGTATGTCTCACTTTTCACAGGGTTTTCAGGCATACAGGGAGACATAATACTGGATGTGTATTGCCCCATTCACACAAGGCTAATTAATCTCTACGGTTGATCATGATTGACTGTGTAGAATTAGGGGAGAGGACTGGGGAAGAGGGGCTCCCATAAACACTTTATTTTATAAGTATGCTATCCAGCCTTAGCTGTCCTGAACACATAGTGAAAGTGAGTTGGAACAGACCAATTGGAAGTGCCTGAGAAATATTGATGGAGTTCTGGCAAAACATTCTACACACATTCATCACTGTGCTTACAATACTAGCAAAATGCCAATAAAAATCACAGCATGGCTAACTCAGACACAATCCTGCTTTGATTAAAAGCATTGTAGGTTTTAGAACATGGTCAGGCTGTGATTTATCCAGGACTCAATGCCATTGAGGAAGCCACAAAACAGTTATGAACTGAGCCGTCCTCTGTTGGCCACATCAAGCTGTTCTCAAAATGTACTCATTTTAGGTATGTTTTATGCTTTATGGACAATGGATATTGGCCCTCATGCCAGAAAATGTCTGGTTCTTGTGAACAAGCAGTTGCTTAAAATGGATTACTTTGAAGTGACCTCAATTCATGTGTAGCCGCTTGCAATGCAGATCTGGCCATTTTCACCATCCTTCAACCTCTGCACATGATATAAGTTATTGTGGGGTTTCAGGGCAAATGTGGCATGGTACAAATCAGGCTCTGAGAATGAAGTGTTAGCTGTGCAAGTGCATTGCTTTTCTCCAGATCTGTTCTAGAAGACAATAATTTAAAAGAGAATCAAAGGTGATGCAGCAAGACCATTGTTTCCTGATGCACATACTTGCTTGAATCTCGCTGTCATCTTTTGCAAAATGGTTTTTTCCCCAGGTTTTTGAAGTGCTACAAGCATCTGCAAAACCTCTCTCATCAGAAACAATAATGGGGCAGAAGAAATCGGTGTGTGTGCTATAGGCAATGATGGCCCTATCACATCACCTTCAATTCTCATGAAAACAATTGTCTGTATCCAGTTTACAGCTCCTCTGGGAGGGAGTGGAACTTGCAGCAGATAAATAATATGTGACTGGCTGTGGCTTTTCTGTCCACTCCATACTGAACTTTGTTCTCAATGCTTAGGTTTGATTTAGGCAGGAATGTGAGATGTGAAATAGGCAGGGATGTGAGTCGTGAGCATCCAAGCCCTGCTAGTTCGTGAGTTTTAAAGCTTCTCCGGCTCTGTCAGTGATAAAGTTGGTTCTCAAGTCCTGGCTGCACAACACCCATTCTAGTAACCACTTTGCCTCCACTGCACCTTGATTTCCCTGGACTGTCCAGCAAGCAGTCTTATTCTGGCAAATCCTTTGTCATGTTGTTGATGCTGAACAGCTGGTGCACTCAACCCCAGAGACAGCTGCATTTTGGCGGTGGGTGAATGATCACTATAGAAACAGCCTACATTGTGCTTTGGGACCCTGTCAAGGCATAAATTTACTTTGCTCTGTTACAGTGACAGGTAAAAAAGCTGCAATAGCTCATATTGTCTATTCCAGGCCACCCACTAGGAATGCCAAGCATATTTATGTATATGGCTGCACACTAGCATCTGGCCTCCCCCCCACATCCCACAGAGGGGTTGTGATTAAAAACCCCTTTCAGTGCCAAAGGAAAGGCCAAGTGTGCAGGAGGAAAAACAGAGGTGTGATCGCCCTCATCCATTTGTCTGCCGAGGAGCAGGCAACTCAGACTGTGGTGCAGTAACAGGTTTTGGCATTTCATGAACAACGTGGTTACCGGGGAGCTCAAGCCCACAGCAGGCACTTGTAGCAGTCAGGAAGACAGGGAATTTCCTCATCTACCTAAATAGCACACCTGCTCCTTCTCTGGAAAATAGTTACTTAATCTGGCTTGAAATGTAGCAGTTGTGTATGTATGCACATAGTATGTATGTATGTAGTACTGTATGCAAGTGGTAAGTGTTACAGACTAGATAGCATTAGAAGTGTGTTAGAGGGGTGTGTGTGTGTTTCAAGGGGATGCCCCCTTACCCAGCCTTGCCTTCCCCCACATCTCAACATTCTTTTTCCCGGATATTTGCCTCTGGTAACATCAATAACTTGTCTGTTTCAGTCTTGAGTCAGACAACTTTCTGGATTTCCCTGGGGAAGGAATGGGTGCTAAATAAGACCAAACCAGACTTCAAATGGACCAGCTCTCCCATTCTGTCACTTGACATGAGATTTCCAGCACTAAGAGTTTTGCCCTTGAGGGATGCTGCATCTTGTGAATTAACCTTTGGATTATTGAAGTCTTATTATGCATGGTCACCCCTTCTCTGTCCATTTGTGGGATTGTTGCCTCCCCCCCCCCCTTTTGCTCTCCTGGCTTTATTTTGAGTGGATTAATTGCATGCTATTCAGTTTCACCTGTCTCTCTGTCCAATTGAAGTGAATAGAATGGAGTACCTGGGGGATGTTGCCGTGCTGCAGGACAAACGGGTTGTGTGTAGGGGGGGTCCTGTTTCTGCTCTGAGGTGCTAAGCAGATGCTGTTCTAAGATGGCTTTGTATCCAAATGGACATGGGAGGAAGGTGAGCAGGACAGCAGGGCTGAGATAGTGGAATGAAGTTTGCAGAGCTGGTGTGAGGAAGCTGGTGCCAGCAGCCATGTAGGGATGGGGTGGGATCCAGAGAGCTACTTTTCCAGATTGTGTCAAGGTTTAATGCCATCTCAATGATTGCTCTGTATAAATTCTGAAAGGCCATAATGAAGGACTGGAGTTCTCTAGCTACCAGACCTAGTAATAGGTGAAGGAATATGGTGAGGGCAATTCCACTGACACAGAGATTTGGACAAGAAGTTGTGCTGCTGTTTGAATCTTTGGCTTTGGAAATCAGTGCATACGTGTTTCAAGCAGCAATTCAGGAAGAATCAAGAATTAGCTGTTTTACTGTCCCCATCATCTGTGTGAGGAGGTGAGATTTTTCATGCTGGTTGTTACAAAAGTCCCAGTGCTGTCTATAAGTGTACAAACTCCAGCTTCAAGACTGGGCAGATTACAAAAG